TATAACGTCTTTTAACTCAATCTTTCTTTCAGTCTTACACCAATCTTCTTCACTCTCCATCCTCACACTGTACCTGTCCTTTGTCCTCCTTCCCTCCTCCTCATCACCTCCCTCCAGCTCTGCTTCCTTTCCTCTCCTCTTCCTGCCCTCCATCTGTAGCTCTTTTTTTCCCGTCTTCTCTTGGACAGGATGCTGTGTTGTATAATCGAGCCCTCTTTGAACAGGCAGCTCCTTTCTCTCCAGGCAGTTGATTCATCCAGAAACAGGTTGTTCCCTGGGAAGACGGGAGCAGGACAGGAAGTTGTGGAGGAAAAGATGACACAGAATTAGACAGAGAGACTTTTTTAAGAGTGGGTTTGTGTGTTCGTGATATTTAAACCACATGAAGATTTTTTTATGTATTAAAAAAGCACTATCCTTGATTATGCTGTGTAAATTAAGGAAACAGTCTTTTCCCTTTCTTTATACCTCACCTCCCTTACAACCAGGAGGCGTGCACTCACATGGTGGTGTTGTGTATGCTGTGAGCCTGACACAGTGGATGCTGGCAGAGAGTCCACAGAGGGGAAAAGAGAACCAGAGAGGCCGAGAAGAAAAAATCAATAGCCATCGACATGCAACACTGCATCAAGACTGTTACTGCCCAGAGAGGGAAAAGGGACGGATGGAGAGGCTTTTGTAGACCAGTGGAGAGCCCTTGGATAGACAGGGGAAGATAGGTGAATGGAAATAGAGAGATGATGGGGAGAGGAGGGTTGTAATTGAGAGAAAAGATCTATTTGATATTACCAGCGAGAAAGAAAAGAGGGTGGGACAAGAGGTACATGAAAAGGGGTTTGTTATAAAGAAGGCAGGGGCAATTAGAGAGAGGCAAAAAGAAAAATGAGAAATAACAGAAAGAGTGAGAGAGTGAGAGAGTGATTTTAAAAAGGAGACTGAAAAAGAGGCTGTTAGTGAGATGAAGGGGATGTGAAAAGCCTGACAGCCTGAGAGGCAGTGAGATGAATTATTTTGTGATAGTAAACACATTTTCAAGCAGAAGATTACAGCGCCTGTAAACAGATGAATGCATGCTATCTCATCATATTGTGGCTCTGTAGTAATTGTCCCTCAGCAGCTTCTGTTTGAGGTATCATGTAATATGCTGATGCCTGCGCGTGTTTGTCACCTTCTGGCTCAGGTGTCTTTTATGAAAGAGATTCCATATAAACACAGGATGAATGATGCCCGTTCTGTTAATAAGAATACCCCAGAATAAATGCTTTATATGGGCACAGCAGTGATGTGATTGATGTAGGTGTGTTATTCAAGCTTCCATAATGACAGGAAAATTATTATTATACAACCAAAGCATTATGACCTTTTCTCCATTTTTTTTTTTTTTGGCATTCATCAATTTTCTCCTACTTAGACATCATTTCTGCACAGAGTAAAAATGACAAAAATCACCTGCTTGGCTCTGAGACGCTCTATTATGCTCATTTACACCTCAGTTTATTTATTTATTTATTCAATTCTTGGACTTTACTAGAGGTGCTGTGCATGATTCACATCTCAAAAAACAATCCTTGATTGT